CAGCACGGCTGCGCAGCTTCTGCACCGCAGCTGGGGCGACGTTCGCAGGGCCCCGCTGCTGGCGCGGCGGGAGGGCACCGCCGTCCCCGAGGGCCACGCGCAGCGTCTCGAGGAGCACCATCGCCGGCGACTTCGTCAGCACCGACGCCAGCGTCAACGCCTTCGCACCCGCCAGCACCAGCGCCGGCGCCTACGCCAGCTCCAACTCCAACGCCTAGATCAGCACCACCGCCATGTCCTTCTTTCGACCCGTCTCCACCCCCAGCTCCGACGACGCCGCGGCGGCGTTTACCTGGCCGGCGGCGAGGGCGTCTGCAGGATCGCTTTGGCACGGCCGACCAACAACTCCCACTGCCACCAACACCAACACCCGCACAACCACTACCATAACTCAGGAGGGAAAAAAACACACAGACACAATTAATTGCCGATTTCCGAGAAAATATGGGAAAATATGGGAAGTGGGGGGGAAGACAGAAACCCAGAAAATATGGGAAAATATGGGGAATCTTTTTATTTGTGTGTATTTATTTGTGTGTCCTGGGGCCCCTTCAATGACCACGACCACCAACGCCACGTCTCCGACCCTGCGACGGCGTGGCCCTGACTCCGACCGTCGTCACGGGCTCCTTCACGCCTGCCGCTTCCGTGGCCGACGTTGGATGCGTTGTCAACCGCGCCTCCACTTCGGAAGATGATGCGGCCCCGACCCCGCCGCCGACTCCAGCGACAACTCCGGCGTCGACTCCGTCTCCGCCCTCTGGTCCGGCTCCGTCCTCGGCTCCGGGATGCAGTGCAATAACCCTGGCGCGGGGCGTGGCGCAGCGGGGCTCCTGGACGCACTGGTGCCTCGGTCGGCACCCGTTTCCAGGCGCCCTGCGACTTCTTCCCAACCCAGGGACGGCTACCAGCACTCGCGCTGCACCTACCTGTGCCGTTCCCTGTTCCACTACTGGTGAGCCCCCGCGCCGCTTCTGCCCTCCTCTGCCTCTTTTTTTTCTTGGCGCGTTCCGCCTTTCCTGCTTCGTCCTCTGGGCTCCGCTAGTCTTAGTTCGTCCTCTGGGCCCCGCTAGCTTTGGTGGCGTGGGTCACCTTTGGACGCGGCCGTGTTCTCCTGCGGGGCAGGCGACCCGCGCGTCACAATACTACTTCAGTGTCTCGCGTGGCCAGCAGTTCCTCTGCCCCCTGTCCCCCTTCTGCTGTTGCTGTTGCTTGTTGCTTGCCGTAGTCTTTCGCTCGCTTTCCTGCTCTGCTGCCTCCTCTCTCGCTCGCTCTCCTGCCTCCCTCCCTGCTGCTCTTTGCTTCTCCCCTTTCCTCCCTGCCGCCTGCTTCCTTCTCCCTGCTGTTGCTGCTGCTGTCTACGCGTTCGCCCTGTCCTTGTCCATTGTCGCACTGGCTAAATAGACCGACTCCGCGCTTCATGCTGCAATTGTCACGGGGCCGGCGCGGCGCAGCCGGCGTTAAAATTGTCAAAGCAGTTTCGCGCACAGCCCAGCGTTAAAAGTGTTAAGCAGTTTTGGCTGAAGGGATCACGCATGTTAGTAGAAAAGAAAGATTATGTTGGTTCCGCGACGGCGGCGTGGGCTCGCCGCCTTATGCCATGACGTCCGGTGTCCAGCGAGGTCGCCCGCTCAGTGGAGCGCTCTTCTTGGTCTCGTGCAACCTTTTCTTACTGCACATGGAACAGGCTGTGGAACGCAAGCATATCGGAGCAGGCCGAGCGCGCGCGGACGACCCTGGCGCCGTGCTCTTCTGCCCCCAGGCCGTTACGAGCATGACCCGCATCTTCACACAGACGCAGCATGTCGCGCAGCTCGCCCTCAAGGTATCGGAGTGTCACGTTGTGCCCATGGGCCAGGTCCAAAGCGAGCTGGTCAGCGCCGCGCGCGGCGGCCGAGCGCAGCTGGGGCGATTTCGTTATTGATCCCGTGCTCCTTTACTTGGGATGTTGGTTTGGCCCAGCGGCCGCGAACTTGGCGGAGCCGCTGGCCAAGCTTAAGCAGCGTGTCGAGGCGATAGCAGCGTCTGGCGTTGATGCGCTGGGCTGCGCCACCTAGTGCACGACCAAGGACCCCCCCGTGATGGGGTACAAGGCGCAGCTCTACGACATGCCGTGGGCGCCTGCGGAGGAGGAGCGCAATTTCTTCTTCTCTTTCTGGCGCGCTACGCCGAGCATCGCGAGCCATGCGGACGGCTGGAACTCGGCGCCAGGGGCGGGCCACGCTTCCCGAGCATGATGGCCATGGCAGCCGCGGCGCGCATGCGGACAGTGACGTGCGCGGCCACTTCGCGGCGAGAGATGTCGTCCAAATTCCGCAAGGCATTCCGGTAGAACGGCAAATTGGGTTGGCAAGTGCCAGAGTGGCCAGCACCTCCGCACTGTTCTTCCACAGCTTTGGCATCGAGATTTGAGGAGGCAGCGCTGGGTTTCCCACAGCACCGGCGCCTGCAGGCAGCGGGCCGTGACCGCCATTGCCTCATTCCTCCTCCCCCGCCCCCTCATCCCTCCCCCCTCCTTCCTCGCCCCTGCACGGCAATTTGGAGCAGCATGGCACGCGCGGCAAGGCCTACAGTGCCGCCTCACGCGCGTTCTTGCGCAGGTTCATTTCCCCTCCTGACCTTGTCACCACGTTCGAGGCGCGGATTCGCAAGTGGTTCTTGCCCCACCTAGGCCCGGTCATCTTTTGGGCTGACGGTCGTCAGGATATGCGGCTGATCCCCTACGCATGGTACCCCGCTCCGCTTCAGGCGTGGCTTGGAGGAAGGACGACGGCACACAGGATGCGGAGACTTCAAGGAAGGCGCATCACGGGGTGTCCTGGGGCGCCAGACACCCTCTCTAGGGGAACGAAGAATGACATAAACATGAAAACTCGGAGGCCCGCGCGGATTTTTCGGATCGGCGCTCGACCCCCATCCCTGGCGCGCAGAGCGCGCCGGAGGCGGCGCCGGCGGCGCCGCCAGGGGGCAGCGCGGATCCGAGAAATCTGCGCGGACTTCCCAGTTTGCATGCTTCTGTCATTCGTCGTTCCCCCACTCACCCACTGCGAGGACGAATGCCCGCGCGCGGAGCGCATCGTAGCAGAGGCTCAGGGGCCGGGATGTCCCCTCTCATCCTCCCTTCCGCTCTGGCCTCGCCAGCTTCCCCTCGGAATGTTGCTTCTCGTCGTCGCGCATTCCCACTACCACCGCCTGGTGGCCCACAGAGGACACCTACCTAGACAGGGGGGACGTCGAACTGAGACCACCGCCCTCGCCGAGGGCGTAAAGATTGCCATGAGACTGCCCCTGCGGGGACAAATTTGATTCCTGTGGGATCAGCAGCGTGGCTTCTCGAGGCGAGTTTGGACGAACCCCGTTTGGACACGCTCTGCCTGCTCCTCCTCTTCTTCCTCCTCCTCATCCTCCTTATCCTCCTTCTCGTCCTCGTCCTTCTCCTTCGTTGTCCATCCGTCTGCATATCCCTATCCTTTTTCCTCTCCTTCCCTCTCTCTCTATGTTCATGATTCCTCTATCTCATCTCCTTGCCTCAGCTGCTAGTGCTGGTTATCCTCCTGATCGTCCCCCTCGGCCACCAGAACAGCTTCTCGAATCGGCACCTCATTTGATACATTCGGCCCCATCGCCACCCGAAGCCGTGCGCGCATTGCCCCTGCTGTTTTGCGTGGCGAACTGCACCAAAACGAAAGATCCCAGCCTCTCCTGCCCCTCCCTGCCCACCCCTTCCCTGCCCACCCCTCATCCCACACAATGTCCCCTAGCCTTTCCTCCCCTTCCCTGCCCATCCTTCCTCCCTAGCCTTCCTCCCCTTCCCTAGCCTTTCCTCCCCTTCCCTGCCCATCCTTCCTCCCCTTCCCTGCCCACCCCTTCCCTGTCCCATCCTTCCTCCCTAGCCTTTCCTCCCCTTCCCTGCCCACCCCCTCCTCCCACGCAATGTCCCCCCCCCCCCATCTCTCGGCTGCAGACCTCCGCTCCCCTGCCTACGTCCTCCCGTCCCCCCTTCGTCCGCATCTACACTGCGCCCCCCGTAGACGTCCGTCTCTGATGCCATCAGGTAGAACGATTTTGTTCCGGCTCCTATCTCTTTCTCTCTCTCTCTCTCTCTCTCTCGTTGTCTCTCGTTGTCTCTCTTTCTTTATATATATGTATATATATATATATATATATGCCCAGTAGCTCTGCTTCCCTTTTTCCTTGCGCGAGTCGAGGGGATCTGCAATACATGCTGATCCGTAGTTCTGGTGTTGCTCGAGCATGGACCGCGCGGCACAGGCTGTACCCCCTGTGTTCAACGCGATCCTGCATCTCGGTCACTACTTCGAGTGGGGTCGCCAAAGAGGCCCCGTCTGCCCCAGCCTGGAGTGCCCGGCCGCGCCAGTCATCCCGCCGTGCCCCACTTGCCCGTCGCTGCAGTGTCCCGCGGTGGTCCCCTGCGAGACGAGTGGCGCTGCGCCCGACTGGCTGAGGCAGCTGGAGGAGGTCATCGCGAGGGTCGGCCGACTCTCCGCATCGTCGTCGACGCCTACCCCTTGTCCGCTCCCCGCCGGGGAGCCCGAGCCGTGCGACCGGTGGACGATTGCCTTCCAGCTGTTCTGGATCGGGCTGCTCTGCGGCGTGCTGCTGACTCTGACGCTTGGGTGCGCCTGCGGCCAGTGTCGACGTCCCCTCCGACGGCCCTCGCCTTCGGCTGGCCTCGCACTGGCGGACGTGGAGACGCCAGAAAGCCGGAAGCTACGGGCTGAGCTGTCGCGATGAGTCTGGACATACCAGAGAGACAGATATTGGTTCATTATCTTGATGATGCGATTCCTCACCATCACCGAGTACTGTTGGTCAAGTTGGAGGGTGCGAGATGGATCTGGTCTACCCCCGACTTCTCGGCGCGGGCGGTCGACTTGTCAGATCGGGCGGCCGCGGTGTCGATGATCCCGATGCAGCGCGACTCGCCGTACCCTCCCCACTTGCATGTGTACGGATTCGACAGCCCGATTGACGCTCAGGACCTGGCGAGGATCAGAGCGGAGGGTCGGGCGCTCGCGGAGATCCTCGGAGCGCCCGTCGCCGCCGTGGCAGGTGCGGCTGTGCCCGACGGCGCTGTGCACATGAACTCGGACCCGTCGTGCAAGTTCTTCGCGGAGGAGGTCGACGACAACTTGCTGGGCTCAGAGGCGACGACCGCGGCGAGGGGCCCGGTCGCGCTTGTGAAGCGCGGCGACGAGTGGACGACGGCAGAGCGGGTCCCTCCGAGAGACAAGCTACGCTGGATGCAGGAGAAGTTGTGCGGCGAGAGCAGAGATTCGAGATTGCTACCCTTGCAGCTGGATCCGAACACGCAGACGCGCTCAACGACCTTGAGGGAGGCCGTCAAGTTGCTGAAGCAGCCGACGCAGGCCGACGGGTTCCCCTTCCAGACGAGTCGGTCGATCTTGGAGTTAGCCAAGGGAGTGGCGGCGTCTGGGCACGAGTTCGGCACGGACCACACTTTCTGGGTGAGAAGCAGCACGGTGGGAGAGCGCACGGCGGTCGCCATCGAGCATTTCCACCTGATGATGCTGCTACACATGATGGTGTGTGATGATCAGTTGAACTTGCCTAACATGGCCGCGGCGGAGTTCGCGTCGCGCCGGGTGCTAATGATCCAGCGGGCAGTGCGCCGCAATCCTCGGGACCCCGATTTTGAAGGCCTCGACTCGTTCATGGCTCACGCCTTCGATGCCAGCGGAGGAGTGGCCACGACGCAGCTCGATCAGGAGATGGCCGAGATGCGCAAGACTCAGGCCATTATCATGAAGAGCGATCGTTTGTTGAAGGAGGAGTCTGAGGCCGACTCGAAGCGCCAGAAGGACGGCAACCACAAGGACAAGAACAAGGACAAGAACAGCGACCCGAAAGGGTCGCAGGGAGGACGATGGCTCTACGGTCCCGGGGTGGCGTTGTTCGCCGCGGCGACACCCCGTATCATGATCCCCGTGTGGGAACGGCCGGCGACCTGGACGCTCCACTTGCCTCAGCGACCTCTCTGGCTGCTGGCAGGACGAGCCATGGGTTGCACCTGGACGTCGACGACGGCGCTCTCGTGCTGGACTCGGCGAGCCGGGACGTATTTCCCCTTCCTTGTGTTGGAGATCGGCGTGATGCGCCCTCTGCGGGCATCTTACCGCGTCGCGCTGCCGCTTGTGATCGGAGGTTTGCAGAAGTTGCCAGCTCTCTGAACGCGCTGGCGGTGGCTCGTGCGGGGCATCGTCTTCGGCGGTGCACATCGGCTTCGGCACCTACTGGACTTCAACGTGCTGCGGGTGTTCGGCTGAGGGAGTCGCTCCAGGAGCTGGGGTGTCCCCCCTCTGGGCCTGACAGGAGGGGCGCCCTCAAAAGCGCCCTTCGAGCTCTGAACGTCTACGACTTTTCCACGGACGACGCCGCCCGCAGGCCCTTTTATGCCTCCCGCGTTCGGGTCGTTCGCGACGGCGGCGTTCACCCCGAGCCAGTCGGCTCAGTGGTCGGGCCTGACGCTCGGCCAATGGCGGCTGATCCCTGGAATTGGATCTTCAGGACTCCAACTGATGAGAACAGGATCGCAGCGGAGGCAACGGTGAAGCCATACCTCGACCCCGTGCTGCGCGACCCACGTCACATGAGCGCTCTCGCGAATAAGCTGAACGACGCGGGGATGCTGTCCTTTCGCCGCCGAGCGCGCTGCTTCGCGGGCGCCTTCACGGTGATCAAGAAGGACGGGCACCACTTGAGGCTCGTTCTGGACTGCAGGCCCGCAAACGCTTTGCACCGCGATCCTCCGGTCAGTCAGCTAGCGACGGCATCGGCCTTGGCGGGCCTCGTGTTGAGGGACGGCGAGACCTTGGCTACGGAGCACGACGCCGCGGGCCGTCCGTTAGATATGCACTTCTCGGGCGCGGACTTGACCGACGGCTACTTCCAGTTCGAGTTTGAGGAGGTCGCCGGCTACATCTGCCTGGCCCACAAGGTGCGGGCGAGCGACTTCGGCGTCACGAAGGTCTTCGATGACGATCGTCGAGGCTGGGACTCGGTCGGCTCCGACGAAATGCTGTGGACATGCGTGAAGGTCATTCCGATGGGCTGGACGTGGTCACTCTTTTTCTGCCACTCCGCGCTGACCGACATTCAGGTTTGTGCGGAGATGAGGCGGCTTGGCATCGAGGATAGGGAGGTAGTGGATTCGCGAGTGCTTCGCGATCGTCGACCCCCCCCCGTTCTCCAGCCCGGCCTTCCCATCCTCGCGCCGTACGTGGACAACGCCTTCTTGATCTGCTGGAACCGCGAGGACGCTTCAGAGTGCTTCCGATACCTGTTGGAGGAGCTGAAGCGACGGGGTTTCGCGTGGCGGGGCGAGATCTGCGCCGAGCGGGACGTCGTGCAGGCAGGGCTTCGGCTGCTGAGCGGATCTCAGCCGCTCATCCTGCACAAGACGGAGCGCACGTGGCGGTTGTACTACGCTCTTCATTCTGCCATTCGGTGTCGTCGCTT